GGTCTCGAGCGTTACTTCTTGCTGGTCGTTGACGACTATTCGCGTTACACCACAGTCTTCCCCTTGCGCAGCAAGGGTGAGGTCCCTGAGGTGTTGATCGACTGGATCCGCGGTGCTCGTCGCCAGCTCAGAGAGAGTTACGGCTCAGACCTTCCTGTTCTGCGTCTGCACTCAGACAGAGGTGGGGAGTTTTCCTCCGACCTCCTGAGGGCCTTCTGTCGTTCGGAGGGCATCCGCCAGACGTTCACGCTTCTGGCCTCCCCGCAACAAAATGGGATTGCTGAGCGCCGCATTGGCATGGTCATGGACGTCGCTCGTACGTCCATGATCCATGCGGCTGCTCCCCATTTTCTGTGGCCGTTCGCGGTTCAGTACGCTGCGCATCAGATCAACCTTCAGCCTCGTGTCTCCTTACCGGAGACCACACCTACTCTGAGGTGGACGGGGAAGGTTGGCGATGCGTCCGCGTTCCGTGTCTGGGGATCTCGAGCTTTTGTCCGCGATACTACAGCGAACAAGCTGTCCTCCCGTGCCGTTCCCTGTGTCTTCCTTGGCTTCCCTCCTGACGCACCCGGGTGGCAGTTCTACCACCCCACCTCACGTCGTGTTCTGTCCTCTTAGGACGTCATGTTTGACGAGTCGGTGTCGTACTACCGTCTCTTTCCCTACCGCACTGCCTCTCCGCCCCCCCCGCCGCTCTTCCTCGCACCAGGTACTCCCCCAGTAGACCCCCTCCCGCCCTAGGGTCCTGCCCCCTCAGGTGTGTCCCAGGTAGACCCTGCCGAGCCGGTCGAGGTAGCTGTTGACTCAGGTGCTGAGCCTGGGGGTGCTGAGTCTGGGAGTGCTGAGCCTGGGGGTGCTGAGCCTGGGAGTGTTGCGCCTGCACGTGCTGCGTCTGGAGGTGCTCTAGGTGTCCCGTTGCGGCGGGAGCCTCTCTCTCCTCAGCAGCTTCGTGAGTGGTACACTCGGCGCTGTCGAGGTGCTGCTGCTGCTGGTGCTGCTGGAGGTGCTGCTAGTGCTGGAGCTGCTGGAGGTGCTGCTGGTGCTAGAGCTGCTGGAGGTGCTGCTGGTGCTGGAGCTACTGGAGGTGCTGCTGGTGTTGGAGCTGCTGGAGGTGCTGCTGGTGCTGGAGCTGCTGGAGGTGCTGCTGGTGCTGGGGCTACTGGAGGTTCTGCTGGTGCTGGAGCTGCTGGAGGTGCTGCTGGTGCTGGAGCTGCTGGAGGTGCTTCTGGTGCTGGAGCTCCTGGAGGTGCTGCTGGTGCTGGAGCTGCTGGAGGTGCTGCTGGTGCTGGAGCTCCTGGAGTTGCTGCTGGTGCTGGAGCTGCTGGAGGTGCTGCTGGTGCTGGAGCTACTGGAGGTGCTGCTGGTGCTGGAGCTACTGGAGGTGCTGCTGGTGCTGGAGCTACTGGAGGTGCTGCTGGTGCTGGAGCTGCTGGAGGTGCTGCTGGTGCTGGAGCTGCTGGAGGTGCTGCTGGGACTGGAGACCCTGGGGCTGAGGGTACCGGTTCTGTCTCTTCTGTTCCTGGAGGCGCTGCGCGGCCGCGGCCGTACTACGTTCCGCTTCTTCAGCAGGTTCTTGGTTCCCCGCCTTCTTCTGGTCCTCCTCCTCCTTTCCTGAGTCCACCACCTGTCTAGTCCCCGTCGCAGTTCCCGCCGGCCTTTCCACTGCCTGGTCCTTCTTCTTACTCTGGACCGACTAGAGGTCTTACAGAGCGTCGTGAGCCTGAGTCTCGTTCTGCGTCGCCTGTTCGACCTGTTTGCACTAGTCGTGTTTCGCGTCCGCGTCCTCCTCCTGTCCCTGGCACTCACTCTATGACTCTACGTCCTTCCACTGCTCCACAGCGTGTCCCTCTGCCGTCTCCTCCTGCGTCCTCTCTTCCTGCGTCTGACTCCCTACGTGCTGCTAGTCCAGCTGTCACGCGTTTTCTGGCCACTGCTGTCACTGACCCTTTGTTTGAGTCCTCTGCTGCGTCTGCTCTTGTTGCTGAGCTTGTTGACTTTGCTGCAGCCTGTCGCCTAGACTACGCCACTAGTCTTGTTGCTGAGTCTGCGTCTGCGTCTGTCTGTCCTCCGTCCGTCGGGGGTGAGTATGCTCTTAGCACGGACGTTCTTGAGGACAGACAGGAGGACCTTGAGTGCTTTGCCGCTTCTGTACCTCATCTCGTGTCCATGCTGCTTGCCCCTGAGGGAGACCCGGATGCACTAGACATCCCGACCCCGCGCTCTTACGCAGAGGCGATAGAGGGTCCCTACTCCTCTCAGTGGCAGGCAGCCATGGACGCCGAGATGGCTTCCTGGAAGTCCACAGGCACCTACATCGACGAGGTTCTCCCGCCTGGGGCGAACATCGTCAGTGGCATGTGGATCTTCAGGGTGAAGCGGCCGCCGGGTTCTCCGCCTGTCTTCAAGGCGCGTTACGTTGCACGTGGTTTCAGTCAGCGACAGAGAGTTGACTTCTTCCAGACCTTCTCCCCTACCCCGAAGATGACCACTCTTCGGGTACTGCTGCACGTAGCTGCTCAGCCTGACTACGAGCTCCACTCGCTTGACTTCAGCACAGCCTTCCTCCAAGGCAGCCTGCACAAGGAGATCTGGCTGCGCCGCCCACCAGGCTTCACTGGGTCGTTTCCTGCTGGTACCCTGTGGAGCCTCCGGCGGCCAGTCTACGGTCTCCGCCAGGCACCCCGTGAGTGGCACGACACTCTCGGGACGACTCTTGCTACTCTTGGCTTTGCTCCTTCCACTTCTGACCCTTCTCTGTTTTTACGCACTGACACTACTCTGCCGCCGTTCTACGTTCTCTTGTACGTTCACGACCTCGTCTTTGCTACTGCTGGCACTGAGGCATTCGCCCACGTGAAGTCCGAGCTGCAGAAGAGACACACGTGCACAGACCTGGGTGAGCTGACAAGCTATCTTGGCTTGCGGATCACCCGGGACAGAGCACAGCGCACCATTACCCTGACTCAGTCACAAATGGTGCACCAGGTCCTTCAGCGCTTCGACTTCATGTACTCCTCGCCACAGTCCACTCCCCTGCCTACCAGTCACTCGCTCTCAGCTCCACCTTCGGACGAGTCCGTAGAGCCGAGTGGCCCGTATCCAGAGCTTGTGGGCTGCCTCATGTACCTGATGACTTGCACACGACCTGACCTTGCATACCCTCTCAGCCTTCTGGCTCGCTACGTGGCTCCCGGTAGGCACCGAAAGGTGCACTGGGATGCTGCGAAGAGGGTGTTGCGATACTTGTGCAGTACATCGGGCATGGGGCACGTGCTTGGAGGACGGGCTTGAGTTGTCCTCACTGGTCACGCTGACGCCTCTTGGGTTGACGACTTGGCTACGCAGCGGTCGTCACAAGGTTACACCTTCAGTCTTGGCTCCGGTTCTGTCTCTTGACGGTCTACCCGCTCTTCTTCTGTTCTCAGCTCCAGTTGTGAGGCTGAGATCTACGCTGGGGCCATGGCTGCACAGGAGCTCCGCTGGCTCACCTACCTGCTGACCGACTTGGGAGAGGCGCCTCGTTCTCCTCCAGTTCTGTACGTCCACAACAAGGCAATGTTGGCCTTGTGTCAGGAGCACAGACTGGAGCACAGAACGAAGCACATTGCTCTGCGCTACTTCCTTGCTCGAGAGTTGCAGCAGCGTGGCCAGCTTCGTCTTGCTTACGTGGCCTCACAGGCCAACACTGCTGATGTTTTCACCAAGGCACTTCAGCCTTGTGATCATCAGCGTTTCTGTACTGTTCTAGGCCTTGTACCTACTGTGCCTCACTTGCTGACTTCTTGACTCTGCTTGTACTGTACTCTATATACTTATACCTGCATGCTTACACTTGCTAGGTTTTGTTCACTGTATTGTTTGCTTTCCTTTATATAACTCTGCATGTGAACTGGCCTTGTGGCCCTTTGCTTGTGCTCAGACTGCGTGGTGAATTTGTGATCCACCCTGAGCTTGCTTTGCCTTCTTGACTGGTCTTGTGACCCCTTGTTCTTCCCCACTTTGCCTATGGGGGTGTGTCCAACTTATATATGCTATAGTCTGTTTAGGCTGTAGTGGGGTAGTTCTTAGAGGGTACAACACTTTTGTGTTTTCTACTTGTACCCATCTGCTTCCTAGTTCATTCAATTCCTCTCATTATTCTCACAGCTAGGCCGAGAGGAGGAGAGACGCCTAGCTCAAGAGACAAGAGAGCGATAGAAGAAGACTTCAAGAAGATAGGATTATAAGATGATCCAAGGATGATACAACAAGAAGAAGGAAGAGATATTTATGCTAGAGAGAATAAGTGCGACTCGAGAGGAAAGCCTGCGTCGCCACGCTTTGAGCATGGCATCTTGGCATTGCGCCTCGATGCCATGCCCCGCTGGATTGTAAAGTGTGACGGGGATAAGAGGAAGATGTCTATGCTAGCAACTGTTCCTGTTCGGAGCTAACTAGGCATCAACCCTTAGGAAATTCCCATGTATCCCGCATGGTGAATTCCCGTCTTGTTACAATCTATGATCAAAGGCAATAAATATTACAAATTCGTCCCCGGAGTGTCTAGGCAAGGGAGAATTAGCCGGCCACTGGGAACGAGTCAGAACGAGTGGTTGACATCATCTCATTGGCACAACCAGCTACTGCTGGAGGGTGTATGATCAAGATTAATAGACTATACTGCATCCGTTTTTCAGGGGTGTCAACGGAGTGCACCGAAGAGAATCTCTTAGGTGGGAGGACCACCAGCACAAGCACCAAACTCGGTGTTGAAGTTCCTCTTAGGTCGGACCTGGAACTCCATATCTCTCCTCCACCACACTCTCCTCCACCACACTCTCCTCCTTTACACTCTCCTTGAGCGCATTCTCCAAGGCCGGACTCCAAACTCTGACCTAGAGTGTGGAGAGCCTTGAATCGTACCTTGGGCTACTCTCGGGGAGGCAACAGGGGACGAGACTGGAACCTGGGGAGACGGGGACATTCAGACGGAGGCAGAGGAGGGTGGCGACCCTATCATGAGAATCAGAATCAGAATCAAGGCGGAGGTCACGGGTGCGGGGGGGGTGAGAGAGGGTAGGGAGGAAGAGGAGGAGGAGGAGGAGGAGGAGGAGGAGGAGGAACGTCAGGTTCAGGCGGCCAGGAAAGGAAGGGGCCTAGCCTGTGGCCCTTCCTGCTGAGTGACAGAGATTTCGTGAATCAGTCGCACATGAGGACTTTCGTTAACGTGATGAAAGCTCAAGACACTTCAGGTACATCCATTTTTTTGTTACTCTAAGATCCACCGCGCGATCAAGAACTGCCCCCTTCAATGTTGCTAATGCCACGGAACTATTTCTCTCATTGGCATCCCAACCAACCATGGCTGCAGATCTGGTGATTGTACTTGTGGATGACAAGCTGTACGGCAGGCGGAAGGTGGTGAGCATCTGCCAGGAGGCCATGGTGTGCGGCCCTTCACGATCCGTGGCTGCTGGGAGTCACACCCGACTCGTGTCCATCCAGGGCCTCATTCTGCCTATGCTCGGCATCTTCTGTCAGGTAGCGCCATTCAATTTCGCTTGCAAATCTGCTCCCCAATCTGCCAAACCATGGTTTCATTTGATGCCCTGTATCAATTCCTATCTTCCCGATTTAAGCTCCTGTGTCTCTTCTGCCCTTCATTCTTGAAACGGTTCTCTGCAGCCCGAGTTTTTCAACAACCCCGCATCAAGCAAGGTGAACGTGACGCTGGCAGCAATTGCAGAGGTGGCAGGCCTACAGGAGTACCTCGTCTACTGCATGCGACTCCTCACTGAACAAGGAGAGATCCGCGATCTCTCACTGGATGACACAGACAGTGTCACAGACTAAGACATGACCATACACGTTATAAGCACCTTCTTTAATCTAACCATGGACCGCTTCTACTCCCTACTTGACGCTGTGCAAGCGAGAGCAAACGTTGAGCTGCTGGACACGATGGTTGAGTGAGATCTGGCTGGTGCAGAAGCCCGTGCTTGACGGCAGGTACTACAGCTTGTGGTCCACGCTGGACAGGCTGCGAAAGTCATTGCACAGACGCTAGCACAGTGAGAGACAGAGGGAGAGGATGGAGGAAGGCCAGCAGCTGCATGCTGACTTCCCTTCAGGTTTGTTGTTCTCATATCACGCTGTAGTGGGCTGCAAGAATGGCCATTCTCGTCTGATAGAAGCTGTACATGATGCACATTATTTCCGTCACATGTAAGTCACTGTCGCAAACGATTTCGTGCTGCTGCTGTGTTGTGCTGTGCTGTGATGTGCTGTGGCATGGTTGTTCAGCATGCAGGCTGAGGATGGCCCGGGTGAGCTTAGCTTGGAAGATCATGCACGCCACGACAATGACCGTATCGAGAATTCAGCCGTAAGATGCTCTTGATATGACATGATATGTCAATCGCCCTTGATCATGTTTTCCATGAGGTCATAGATGGCCCTCACGGGCTCACCTTAGATGGCTGCCCACAGCATGCTATGACAGCTTGAGACTATAGCCATAAGATGCTGGCTTGTTCTGACGTATTTCACACAGAAATCATAGTTTTCTTTGGATCGGAGTGTTTTTGCTTTGTATTGTGACCATGTTCGTGGCCATCTCTCTCACGAGTTTCATGTGCCTTGATCAGGATTTGTGTCTGATTGCTGAAAAGATCCTTGTCCTAAAAAGCTCCTTGTCCTCAAAAGCTCCTTGTCCTGACAAATTCCTTTCTTGATGAGAAATCTACGCAGGTGTTTTTAACATGGTTCCGATCGACCAGGGGCTTTAGTGGATAGTTTCCTCACTTCAATTCATTTCTTTCCTCTCCTAATACGTGTCTTGCCCGACCCCAGATCTCAGTGGTGCCAACGATGGACGAGGTTCTCTGCGACATCGCGCCCTACCTTCCGCACAATCACCCGGGCGAGCCGCACCGCCAGCCAGCAGGGTCAGTGGGGCGCCACGTGGACATTCAATTCCTCCTGCTGCGCCACGACCTGGTTGCCCCCCTCTGGAGCAAGGCCCTCTTCCTCTTCCACCGCCTCACCCACGAATCCCCTGAGGGTGCCCGTGGTGCGAGCAGCAGCAGGAGCAGCGGCAGGGAGGAGGCGATGGGGCTGCTGAGGGCGGACAGGGAGTCGGTGAGGGGTGTGGCGGATGCGATGAAGGGCGTGGGGGTTGTCCTCGGAGGACATGGACGTGTATCTGCTAAGGGATGTGCACATGCTCTCCATCCATGCGCACCGGCGCAGCGGCGTCTTCCTTGAGCCTCCCATGCCACGCGGCCGGCAAACGCGTGACAGGTAACCTGGCCAGCCAGTTGAACTTGTGTGACGGGAAAGCCGCAATGCCTGTTATGGAGCTGCTCACTTGTGTGTAACAAGCAGGAACACCTCTTCATGCCTGACTTGCTTACAGTGTTTGTGTAAAGGAATCGGTAGCCATGTGCTTTCTTATTAGATTCCTGGGCCCTTCCGTGCCGCAGGGCTGGCGTGCCCGTGACTGACAGGTAAAGCCCTTGTACAAGATAAGCGGGGTGTGTTTCTGATTGAGTCGCTACAGCCACTAATGGCTTGCAACTGGTGCAGACAGCACGGTTACATGAAGTGTATTCTGTTAAACAGGCATGCCATGTGGCCCATAGTATGCTGCAAATTCATCATTCCAATACATCTTGCTGATGGTGTGTGTATCCTGTCCTGTTGTCCTCCACACCATTGTTGCTCCTCACAATCAGGGTTGAGTTCTGGGAGAACACGCGGAGGCTGCAGCACGGCGCGCTGCTCTGCTTGTGGATGCGAGACGTCGAGCCAGGCCACACTCACACTCACATGCAGCAACGGTTGCAGCGGTAGCTGCGAGTGCCACTTGAGACCCCTCATGCAGGAGACACGCCAGCAAGTGACACTTCCTCCCACCGCCTCATCTTCGCCGCCATCACCGCTCGTGACACAAAGAGGCTTGCTGCTGCCCGGCCGCAGATTTGAGTGCAGTTGTGTGGGGGGAATGGGTTCAGTGCGGACCTGCTAGGGCTGATTGGTCAGGACGGCAGTGAGGGGAGTGGGGAGAGTGGTGGGAGGACGCAGGTGGTGATGCTGGAAGGCCATGGGAGCTTCTTTGCGTATGAGCCATTTCTGAAGGCGCTGCAGGGCATTATTGAGGCGTCGCTGCCCTTTGCTGAGTACATCTGTGGGGTACCTGACGGGGCACCTGGGGGGCTGCCTGGGAGGGCCCTTGGAGTGTGCGAGCTGCCTGCGTACATCCAAACGGGCATGAGGTGAGTACAAAGGGATGGAGCGAGGGGGGGACTGGGGCAGGGGGGAAGGGGAGAGAGTTTGGGTGCGCACTGTGCGAGGGAACGACAGCAGAGAAAGGAGGAGTGGGTGGGGAATGAGAGAGGAAGGACAAGAAGGTTCACACCTAGGAGTCTTGTGTGCTTCTTGCACGAACGACAATGTACGACGTCAGCCCGCTTGAATCCTTGCAATTGCGCGCATCTCATTCTTGCATATTTGCAGAGAAGAGAAGGTGTGTGCGTGTCTCCCCACTCCTCCCAGCGCGGCAGATCACACCAGGGGATGAGTCGTGATGATCGCCAGCCCCACCCCACGGCCTTCTCCTCGAGAGTAAACCTGTGTGTAGGTTGTGTTGTGTGTTTCCTTGGCAGGTACGACTTGAGCCTGCTGCTCAAGACCAAGGCAGCATCATGCTCCCAGCAGGAACAGATCGCACTAGAGGACGAGTATGCCATGAGCAACGTGGCGATCGCCACCCCCTCCTCCTTCCCCATGGATGCTCTCCTGCGCTGCACGTCGCTGGACCAGCCCCAAGCTGCGGCCCTCCAGGCGGCCCTCACGCAGGAGTTTGCTCTGCTGCAGGGCCCCCCAGGAATGGGCAAGGTGTGTTAGCTAGCTGAATGCCTGACTCTCGCTCTCATTCTCAACGCCACGTTACAAGATCATAAGCTGCTTCCATCTCTGCGACTAACCGGGGCGGAGTTGTGTGTTCCCATGGCAGACGTTTGTGGGGATAAAGCTGGTGGAGATTCTGCTGAGCAATGCATTCAAGAGAAGCGCTGAGGGGCATGATGTGTCTCAAGGCGGGGAGGTGGGCAGTGCCATGGGTCCCATCCTGTGCGTTAGCTTCACCATCCACGATCTAGCCTAGGTCAGTCCTTAGAGGGCATCATTGCCAGCGGCATCAAGAAGGTGAGTGCAGCACCTTTACCACTGCTGCTTGGTTGATCCGATTGCAAAGAGGGTTGGTTTCTGAGGCGGCTTAACAAAAACAATGCACGTGAGGCAAAGAGGTACATAGGTGAGAGCACGAGGCACAGGTGAGAGCACGAGGTACACAGGTGAGAGCACGAGGTACACAGGTGAGAGCACGAGGTACACAGGTGAGAGCACGAGGTACACAGGTGAGAGCACGAGGTCAGAGTGCGGTCCGCAGATCTTTCACCTGACGGAGAGGGGTTCATCTATATACGTTTGCTGCGGTTTGAGGTGTATGGTGGGTTATGTAGCCCGTGAAGGGGTCACTGGACCTCTGCATCTGCATTGCATGCAATGTTCTTGGCTGAATCTCTGGTGTGTGTGGTTCTTACATGTGTGGTGCTTACATGTGTGGTTCTTACATGTGTCGTTCTTACACGTGTGGTTCTTACACGTGTGGTTCTTACACGTGTGGTTCTTACACGTGTGGTTCTTACACGTGTGGTTCTTATACGTGTGGTTCTTACACGTGTGGTTCTTACATGTGTGGTTCTTACACGTGTGGTTCTTGCATGTGTGGTTCTTACATGTGTGGTTCTTCCTGTGCTTCATCGGCAGGTAGTGCAAGTGGGAGGGAGGTGCAAGTCGGAGGTGCTGCAGGAGCTCAATCTCCTCAACATCATCCGCACCTCCAATGTGGAGCGCAGCCGAGGTGAGCACCACAGCACTGCACAGTGCACGCACAGCAGATGCCTCACAACCACTCACATGCATTTCCATTCGAGATCTGGATTTGAGCTGGATATTTGAGGTTTCCAGGCGCAATGCAAGCGTGTGACACAAACATCTTGTGTTGTGAAGTTGCGGTGTCATTTTTTACTTCCTAACAAGTCATGTATGGGGAGGGTCACTTGCGTGTGAACAGCTGAGATGCACAATACGCCGGGCGAGTTGGAGGCACGTCCCTTCAAGCTTCGGAAGGCCTCAAAATCAAAGTGAAGGAAATGGATCGGTGAACTTATGGCACGATAGGAAGAAGAAATATCCTTAGCAAGAAAATGGTATAAGTCTTAAAGACTAGAGCAAGGTCTTTGTCCAAGGATAATTCCTAGTGAAGTGGGAAGCCACATATATGTGGTTGACCTCTTGAGGCTAGCTGCAGCACCTCAATGCTGAGGGCAAGGCTAGCCAACCTTGCCAAGCTAGCAAGTGAGGCCACATGTTGCACATGTGGGCCAGGCTGGAACAACAGCCCACATAACAGCATATGGCACACCATAGAGGCCAGCAAGGTGAGTGTGGGATGAGTGGACAGGTGGCAATGCCAACTGTGACCACACTTCACTGTGGTGGAGTGTGGTGGAGTGTGGACATGTAATGTGGGGCATAAGGAGAATGGAAAGTGCAGCTGCTGAGAATTGAACCCACGACCTCTAAGACTGAAGGTGAGAATCCACCCTCTGGGACATACTTGCTGCACAACACAAAGCATTTCGCCGAGTACTTGTTAGTTATGGGCTCGTATGTGAATGCCTGTGTTCTTGTGTTGTGTGTGCATGTGCGTGCATGAGCAGTGTACAAGCACTTGACCTACGAGGTGCACAGCAAGCTGGGCGAGGTGGAGGAGGTGATTGGCACGTATAGCGACGCCCTACAGCAGTGCAGCGCCAACACAGCGGTCGTTTCGTGGCGCTCCATCGCCGCCCACCTCATGGCCAACCACCCTGTCTTTTTCCATGCGTTGCAACCCACCACTGCGGCAGACAGTGACGGGTTTCAGGTGCGTGACAGGTGGATGAAAAAGGGGTGTTGCGTACGTGTTTAGAGTGTGTATTGAGTCTGCGCATTACACCTCATGGCCAGCCACGCTGTTTTCTTCCATCCATGCGCTGCACCCCATCAGCACGGCAGATAGGCATGAGCTAATGCCGATCATGAACATGTTCGGTTCGACATGTCAAAACATAAAACATCCTATGGGGGTTCCTCTCCTACCCCACCACTGCTCGTTTCTTTGGTCCTCTTGCTGTGCTTTCACCAGCACGCGGGTCAAAGCAACTGGACTCAGTGGAAGAGAGGCCTTGCGGCCTAAAGGGGAGGGATGGGAGGGAGAGGGGGAAGAGGGGCAGGAGCAGCAGGAGGGGCAGGAATGTTGGGAGTGGAGGACGATCTCTCACATGCGTTTGATGACTTGAGCGTTCACAACGGCAGGCGAGGCCCAGGCACTGATGAACCCCACAGCGGTACCAACACCCGAGGATACCACGACAGCCAGGGGAACCAAAACAGCAGGGGGAATCAAGGCAGCAGGCAGGCACACGGGAGCATGGGGGAAGATGAGGAGGAGGGGGAGGAGAAGGAAGGGGAGGAGGAGGAGGAGTGGGTGGGAGTGGAGGTGGATGAGGCAAGTGACCGTGGGGTGGGGGAGTTGCTGGGGTTGGCGGACCCATGGGCAACGAGTGGGTGGGAGAGGCGGAAGCTGGTGGCGGTGTGGGTGGGGGAGGTGCGCGCCACTGCTGCTGCTGCCATCGAGGCCGAGGTGGACAAGTATGCCAGGTAGGTACGGACGGCTGGTGCTGGTGGGGTGAAGGGCGGTGCTGGTGGTGAGTGTAGTGGCCCGTGTGAGTGTAGCGTTTGGCAATTGTGTCGGTGTATTTTGCGACGCTGAGGTAGATTGCGTTCTCTCTGTTCAGTATGTTGAGTCCCAGGTACTGAGTTACGGTGGAAGAGACCATGAGTGAGAGATCCCATTGTAGCTCCCCTTCAAACCAGGTGGTGATGTCGTCGGTGGAGCCTATGTAAAGGAGGTCGTCTACGTACACAATCAGTAGGATGTATTTGGCTTCCTTTGTGAGTCTGTATCACAAGAATGAACGAGAATGAATGAACTATGAAACAGTTGGGTACAAGTACTAACCCTAATTGGGTTGTACCCCTTATGGGCTACCCCACTATAGCCTACACAAATGTAAGCACTATATGTTTTGACACACCCCCATAGGCAAAGTGGGGGAGAACAAGTGGTCACAAGACCAGTCAACAAAAGCAAAGCAAGCTCATGGTGGATCACAAAGTCACCACACTGTCTGAGCACAAGCAAAGGGCCACAAGGCCAGTTCACATGCAGAGTTAAATAAAAGACAACAAACAATACAGTGATCATACCCTAGCAAGTGTAAGCATGCAAGTATATATATAGATCACAGTACAAGCAAGTCAAGCAGTGAGCAAGTGAGGCAAAGTAGGCACAAGGCCTAACACAGTAGAGAAGCGCTGATGATCACCAGGCGGAAGTGCCTTGGTGAATATATCAGCAGTGTTGGCCCTAGTGGCCACGTATGCAAGACGAAGCTGGCCACGCTGCTGCAACTCTTGAGCAAGGAAGTATCGCGGAGCGATGTGCTTCGTTCGGTGCTCCAATCTGTGCTCCTGACACAAGGCAATCATGGCCTTGTTGTCAACGTATAGAACTGGAGGCGAACGAGGCTGCTCTCCCAAGTCAGTCAGCAGGTAGGTAAGCCAGCATAGCTTTTGTGCAGCCATGCCCCCTGGGTAGATCTCAGCCTCACAACTGGAGCTGAGAAACGAAGACGAGCGGGTAGACCGCCAAGAAAAAGAGCCGGAACCAAAGCTGAAGGTGTAACCCTGTGACGACCGCTGCGTAGCTGAGTCGTCAACCTAAGAAGCGTCTGCGTGACCAGTGAGGACAACTGGACCCCGTCCTCCAAGCACGAGCCCCATGCCCAATGTATTGCACAAGGAACGTAGTACCCTCTTCGCAGCATCCCAGTGCACCTTTCGGTGCCTACCGGGAGCCACGTAGCGAGCTAGAAGGCTGAGAGGGTACGCGAGGTCAGGTTGTGTGCACGTCATCAGGTACATGAGGCAACCCATAAGCTCTGGGTACGGACCACTCGGCTCTACGGACTCGTCCGAAGGTGGAGCAGAGAGCGAGTGGCCGGTAGACAGAGGAGTGGGCTGTGGCGAGGAGAACTGGAAGCCGAAGCGCTGAAGGACCTGGTGCACCATGTGTGACTGAGTCAGGGTGATGGTGCGCCGTGCTCTGTCCCGGGTGATTTGCAAGCCAAGATAGCTACGCAGCTCACCCAGGTCAGTGCAGGTGTGTCTCTTCTGCAGCTCCGACTTCACAAGGGTCAGTGCTTCGGTGTCAGCAGTGGCAAAGACGAGGTCGTCGATGTAGACGAGGATGTAGAAAGGCGGCAGCGAGGTGTCGGTGCGTAGAAACAGCGACGGGTCAGCAGTAGAAGGAGCAAACCCAAGAGCCGCAAGTGTAGTCCTCAGTGTGTCGTGCCACTCGCGAGGCGCCTAGCGAACACTGTAGAGTGGCCGCCGGAGGCTCCACTGGGTACCTGCAGGAAACGACTCAGTGAAGCCAGGTGGGCGGCGCAGCCAGATCTCCTCGTCCAGGTTGCCCTGCAAGAACGCTGTGCTGAAGTCAAGAGAGTGTAGCTCATAGTCACGCTGAGCAGCGACATGCAGCAACACCCGAAGAGTGGTCATCTTCGGGGTGGGGGAGAAGGTCTGGAAGTAGTCAACCCCCTGTCGCTGACTGAAGCCTCGAGCAACGTAGCGCGCCTTGAAGGCAGGCGGAGAACCCGGCGACCGCTTCACCCTGAAAATCCACATGCCATTGACTATGTTCGCCCGAGACAGGGGAACTGCGTCGACGTAGGTGCCTGTGGACTTCCAGGATACCATCTCGGCATCCATGGCTGCCTGCCACTGATAGGAGTAAGGACCCGTAATCGCCTCAGCGTAAGAGCGCGGGGTCGGGATGTCTGGTGCATCCGGGTCTCCCTCAGGGGCAAGCAGCATGGAAGCGAAACGAGGTATAGCAGCTGCAAGACGCTCAAAGTCCTCCCGCCTGTCCTCAAGGACGTCCGTGCCAAGAGCACACTCACCCCCGATGGACGGAGGACGGGCAGACTCAGACTCAGCAACTAGAGCAGTGGCGTAGTCTAGACGACAGACATCGGCAAAGTCAAGCAGCTCAGCAATGAGGGCAGATGCAGCAGCTGACTCAAAAGAACGGTCAGTGACAATAGTAGCGAGGAGACAGAGACAGTAGGACTGGCAGCACGCACAAGGTCAGACCCAGGGTCAGGGACAGCAAGAAGAGAGGACTCAGGAGGCGACAGAGGAACATGCAGTGGATTAGAGGAAGGACGAAGTGTCATAGCCTGCGTGCTAGGGACAGGAGGAGGACGTGAACGAGTAACGCGACGTGCAGCGCGAACAGGCAAGACAGGACGAGACCCAGGCTCACGACGCTCTGTAAGACCGCTGGACTGCTAAGTGTAAGGAGAAGGAGCAGGCAGTGGGGAGGCTGGCAGTAACAACGGCTGCGACCGGTCAGGCGGTGGACACAGTAGGGGAGGAGAAAGGCTGGTAGAAGACGGGACACCAAGGACCTGCTGAAGCAAGGGAACAAAGAACGGTCGCGGCCGCACAGTGCCTCCAGCACCAGTACCGCCAGCACCCCTAGCTCCAGCAACTTCAGCTCCAGGGTCAACAGCTCCAGCTTCTCCAGCTCCAGCGCCGGGGTCTCCGGCTCCAGCTCCTCCAGCTCCAGTGCCACCAGCGCCAATGCCTCCAGTCCTAGCAGCTCCAGGCTCCGTAGGGTCTCCAGCTCCAGCGTCTCCTACACGACCAGTCCCGACAGCTCCAGTACCCCTGGTACGAGCACCTCCAGGATCAGAAGCCGTTGGACCTCCAGTACCACCAGCTCCACAAGTAGCTCCAGCACCTCCAGCTCCAGTGTCTCCAGTGCCTCCGGCTTCAGCAGCTCCACTCCGAAGGCGTGCGCGCCGAACAAGCCACTCACGCAGCTGCTGAGGGGAGAGAGTCTCTAGTCGCGGAGACAGTCTCGGCGAAGCACCAGCAGCACCTCCAGACGAAGCAGCTCCCCGAGGCTCAGCACCCCTAGACTCCGCACCCCCAGGCTCAACACCCTCAGGCTCAGCACCCCCAGGCTCAGCACCCCCAGACCCAGCATCCTAAGACTCAGCGCCCCAAGGCTCCGCACCCCCAGACTCAGCACCCCCAGACGCAATACCTCTAGCAGCACCTGAGTCGCCAGCTACCTCAACAGGCACAGTAGCAGGGAGTGGGTCTACCTGGGAAACACCTGAGGGAGCAGGACCCTGGGGCGAGAGGGGGACTACCGGAGGGGGACCAGGAGCAAGGAAGAGCAGTGGGGGCAGGGGAGGGGCAGAGCGGTAGGGGAAGAGATGGTAAAAGGGAACCGACTCGTCAATTGTGACATCCGGAGAAGGGAAGATACGGCGCGAGGTGGGGTGGTAAAACTGCCAGCCAGGCGCGTTTGGGGGAAAGCCAAGGAAGACGCAGGGGATAGCACGGGCGAAGAGCTTGTCCGCGGACGTATCGCGAACAAAGGCACGAGAGCCCTAGACTCGGAACACTGACGCATCGCCAACTTGCCCCGTCCAACGCAGTGTGGGCGAGGTCTCCAGCAAGGAGACACGGGGCCAGAGGTTGAGCTGATGCGCAGCGTACACGACCGCAAACGGCCACAGAAAATGGGGAGCAGCCGCAAAGATCATGGAGGCACGAGCGACCACCATGACTAAGCCAATGCGGCGCTCAGCAATCCCATTTTGCTGCGGTGAGGCCGGAAGCGTGAACAACTGGAGGATGCCCTCCCCACGACAAAAGTCCCGCAAGAGGTCGGAGGAGAACTCACCACCACTGTCAGAGTGCAGACGCAGGACAGGAAGGTCCTGGTGGAACCACTCGCGGAGCTGGAGACGTACTGCACGGATCCAAGGGATCAAGACATCAACGACCTCACCCTTGCTGCGCAAGGGGAAGACGGTGGTGTACCGCGTGTAGTCGTCAACGACCAGCAAAAAGTAGCGCTCGCGGCCCTGTCCACTGACGCGGGCTGGGCCCCACACGTCCATGTGGAGAGTCTGCAGGGGGGCAGTCGTCGGGGGAAACGAGGAGGAGTGAGGAGCGGCGCGCTGCCGCCCCTCGATGCACAGAAGGCAGGGTGGGGCAGGCGAGGGCGGGAGGGGAGGCAGAGATCTGGGAAGACCAGAGACAAGGAGGCCGGAATGCATGCCACGCAGGCATGGCAGGGATGGGTGACCAAGGCGGTGGTGCCAGAGGAGAGTCTGGTGCGACAGGAGGCGACACGAGCAAGGGGGTGCTACCGGACCTGACGCGGACACCTGGGCAGACGTAGCTACCTGAGAGGCTTGGTAACTAGTGTGTACAGACTCGACCCTGGCCGACATGTAAACGTGGCCAGGTGATGGCCCGTCTGTGTACATGTGCAGATCGACACACGCTGACCCCCAGGAGTGGTGGTAGTGACCGTCGAATCCTAGAGGGCCGCGGTACTCACCAAGTTCATAGAGAATAAGGGGAGGTGAAGACCTGACAGTGAGCCGGACAGATCCGCCGGACAAGGGAGAACAGTGGAGGAACGGGCAACGACTGGGCCCCCAAAGGGGTCAGGCAGTCTGACCGGGAAAGGTGCACGAAAGAAACAGCGTGAGGCACCTGAGTCTAAGG